TAAAGTCCAACAGAATTGGCGTATGCAGCAATGATGTCCAATAAATTTGTTCAATGTATTTCTTATTGTAATATGTGTGTATTTGATGGTTGTAAWTGTTAAACTCGTTATAGTATAATTTTTTTAATGGGATTATTTTCTTAAAAGAATGTCGATCGAYGATTTTCGGAATTCAATTTATTTGTRATTCGGTTGGTGAAAATKTTTCATAAATTATTGAAACTTAGTGTTAGCTTAATGATCTATTGTGAGAATCAGTTCTTCATCATAATATATTGAATATTCTAAATTTCTGACTGAGAAAAGCCAGTTCAGTGGTACAAATTTTGGACATACAATTAGCATATTGTATGCTTAATAACACTAATAGGCATAATATATTTTAATACATCCACCTAATGTGATTATAAACTTAAACTAGAAACTATCGTATTTGGTACATACAGATTGAAAATAACAATCAATTTTATTACACAGTTTTTAATAAAATAAACATAAAAACAAATGATTATAATATATATCGTTCAATCAATATAATAAGTTTTTCGACATCAGCGTCATATGATTTTTTTGTATTTAAATTATTCTTTTAAATAATAAATTGGTTTAGAAGKGGGTTTCAATAATTATGTGGTTTTTGTGTCGTCATTGGAGTGGGTGGTGTTTCCGATGTTGGATTAGTTGCCGGTGAAGGAGCTGTTGCCATTGAAGAATAAGTTGCCGATGTAGGATCTGTTGCCATTGAAGGATTAGTTACCGATGTGGTACGCGTGTGCGAGTTTTCTTGTGTAACTGGTGAGGGAGATGAGTAAGGTTCGGATGGACCATAGGCAATTGGTCTATTTTTTATTTGCGTTGATTGAATCTTGAATGGCATATTATTTGATGGTATCATAAATCCATTGCTTCCAGCAAACTTTTTATTTTCATTGTTATAATATGTATCGAAACGGTGAGTTGATATAAACCTAAACAATTTAAGGAAATTATTATGATAATATAATATAATATAATCATTTTATATAATTTGTTAAAATAATAAAATATGCGTACAATGTACATTTATAATACATGTAAAAAAATTATTGATAAAAATGATTTATTCAAGAGGAATGAAGCAGCTAAAAAGAATATTGTCCAAACTATATACCCTGCTACAATTACATTCCATATATAATTTTTAGATTCTGAGCGGAGCAATGAATGTATTGATTTTACCATGATGTGTGTTTTTTTTTGTCTGTCATCACGTTTTGGGGCAGTAAAAATGCTTCGATTTTTGACTTCAGTACCTCGTTCGATCAGAAAGTTAATACTTTTCTAAATAATCGAGAAAAACAAA